TCTGGCCAGGCGTGGTGGCGCACGCCTGTCATCCCAGCACTCGGGAGGCTGAGGCAGGAGGATCGATGTGAGTTCGAGACCAGCCCGGGCTACACAGTGAGTTCCAGGTCAGTCTCAACTACACAGTGAGACCCTGTCTCAAAAGCCAAACCAAAAAAAAACTGACACCCTCCCCTCCCCCCCTCCCCGCGGCTCTGGACGGCTCCTGATGCAGAATCACTTTTCACTTTCTTCTCACATTGTCCCCTCCTCCCTGAGGAGGTTTAAGGTTCACAGCCAGAAAGAGGCCCTCGCTCTCGGGTGGAACTCTTAACTCCAAAGCCCAGATCCCGGGTGGGACCTTCGGAAAACTTCACCTACTCACAGCCCAAATTCTGAACGAGTCATCACACAGAGACACTGAATAACCCCATGCTGGCTTCTCCACTCCTGCCAGGAGTAAGAAATTTCACATGTTCAAGCAAAAAAATAAAAATACCTGTATTCTCTAAATACGTTTGATTAAGTAGCTTGCCAGGTGGAATTTTTATTCCTTCATTCGACTGCAAACTCGCACATGTTTTATGTTCACAGACATGCCAGTTATTATGAACTGCAGCCTCTCAGATGCAATCCCCGTGGCCAGTGACCTCGGTAGAATATATTAAGTTATTTTCTGCCATTTGGAAGACGCATTCAATTTCTGTTTGATGAATGTATCCATCATGGGGATGTTTTCATAACATGACCAGATTGGAGTGGCGGGAGAAGCCGTTATAAACGTTGCCAGACATCCTTGGAAAGTACAGGATCGGGAGAGACATGGAGAGACAGAAAGTTTTGGCATATGATGCATAGAAAATCTCAGCACACAGAGTTAACGTATTCATCTCTTGACTATAAAGTCTCGTGGTAGGATAAGAGAATGGGAAATGTCAGAAATGAACAAGACAGACACAGACTCTGAAATAGTTCTTTGCACAAAATGCTGGGAAGTGGTAGGATTTGGCCGTCAGAAAAAGCCAACCCCGGTCCTGACGACTCACCAGGGAAATCAACCTGCTTTTGCCCGAGGAGCGAATATTAATCCATAAACCGGTTTCCTTTTTTCCAAAATGGCACAATGTCCCAGACGTTGCCCTTTGCCGGAGGGGGAGGAGGAGAAAATGCAGCCCGGTCTGTGGTCTCCGGCCTTGCACAGCCTAGTGCTGGATGCTCTTGCTGATGTCCTTGCCCCATCCTGAACCGTTCTAAACCACTGCCTTCCTCCCTGGCATTCGCCCCCGAAGCCCTCACGCTTGGTCCTTAGCCGGCCGCAGAGCTGGGGCCCTGCACTGCAACGGAACCTCAAAAAGAGGGCGGCAGTGTCAGAAGTGTTCTCTGTGGGGCTCTCTCTGCGGGAGGCGAGGCTGTCTGTGCTCCCTGCTGGGGACGGGGAGGCAGCCACAAGCTGCAGAGGGCGAGGGCTGCAAATGCTTTAAAGGAGCATCACCAAGGAGACCGTGGTCAGGCCTGCTCTCTTGGCGTTTGACTCACGCTCTCAGGAATGCTCATGTGCAGCTGAAGTCCCTTGTGATCTCCTTCTCGCCCCATACTTTGGTGGCTGTGGGCCTGAAATGTCCCCCAGGTAAGCACCCTACCGCTGAGCTCACCGCAGCTTCAAACCGAACTATTTCGCAAGCATGAAATGCAACTGATCTACAAAGGAAAAACTCTGACTTCTGGTGGTTTTATCCTAAACACCTCATTACACTGCGGGGCCCTAAAGGCATTGGCGCTGGAATAAAACACAAATATCAAAGTGCTGCATTCTTCAGCGGATGCCGACTAGGATGGGTTTTGGTAACGTTAAAATCTTACAGAAGAAGAAAGCCGCGACTCACTTCATGGCCGCAACGTGACAAACATTCGACCTTTCTCTTCGTTTACTCTTGAATATGCCCCCCCCGTCTTGGTCACGCGTGACACTGTACCAACTTTTTAAAAATATGGACCTTAAAGTAGACAAGAAAGACTGGCGTTTTGCAAAAGAAAGGTGAGGGAGCCAAGGCGATATCTGACTCTGATTAAGCTCAGGGTCTGATCTCTGTCCACAGAGGGGGTGGGGCTCATTGGCCTTGTTTCCTTTGCTCCGCCCCCACAACGCCTCCAGAAAGGACCTTTGCCAATTTTTTTGTTCGAGGGAAAACAGCAACTCCCTCCCCAAGGGCGATCCCACACCCCTTGCTCCTCCGCGCTCCGGTGCACACACTCGGAAAAAGGGCTTCTCCTCCCTGATGACCAAACTCCCCGGACGGCATCCGGTGCTTCTCAAACATTCACGTTGCTTCTTCTGTTTAAATCCCGCTTTCAAAACAAGCCCGGATCTGCGCCGCGGTCTCGGTCACCTGTGTGACACGAGCCGCCGTGAGCTCACCGAGGGCCGATCCACAGCGGACGTCACACCTCACCCCGGAGGCCGACACACTCAGGAGCGAGATCTGGGCCCCGTGCGTGCCCTGCACAGCGGGCTCGGAGTCCCACCTCTGGAACCCCAGCTCCCCTGGACTTGACGCCTCAGGGAGGATTGCTCCATCTTCTCAGGTGTGACAGGGGAGAGGATTCGACTTCAGAGGTGGGAGCCTAGTGACCACCTGGCAGGGTGAGCTTCAGAGACCTAACGGGATTAGTCGAGCACACTTCAGGTCCCAGCACCTTGCTCCCTCTCTCTCTCTCTCTCTCTCTCTCTCTCTCTCTCTCTCTCTCTCTCCCCTTCCTGACAACCATGAATTAAGCATCTTTCCTCCATCTTGCCCATCCACCTTGATGTTACTGCACCCACCCAACCACAGACTGAGCCCCCCGAGACCCCTGGGGCAGCCGACCACGGATTGAGCCCCCCGAGACCACTGGGGCAGCCGAAGACGCACTGAGCTCCCCGAGACAATGCGCCAATTTTAACATCTTCTCCTCTGCCTTGAAGTGCTCTGGTACACTGTGTCCCAGCAGGAGAAACCTGACCAAATATAATCACCGTATTCCCGTACGAGGGAGATTCTTGCAGCCCACTTTTGCTGTGCTCATTCAGTTACGCTATTTTTGAATATTTCTGGTTTTTGAAGTGTTTGGCTCTGCCAGTATTAAACTCAGTCACTCCTACAATATTTCACTCCCCCACCTTGTACAGTTGGCTGTTGGACTTGTGCTTATTTTACTGAGCGACCTCCTACTGCTGTGGACTCTCTTTCCTGCCCCCCACTGTGTGCCTGGTGGCTGATTCCTTTCCTGGAGAAATCTCACCCATCCCAGGCAGACCCAGGCTGAGAAGCCATGACATTTTTTATTGTCACCAGCTCTCACCTGGACTTTTGAAGAAACCGTGACCAGCGGCGCTGCTAATGAGACGCTGGTTTTCAGGAAGTTGAGCAACTTCCCCGGAGAAAAGCCAGGAGGAGCTCGTGGAGTGAGTCTCTCCGTGCAAGGCACAACCTCACCTCCGGAAATTTCCTCTGCAGCCTAGGAAGGAGATCTGCACCTGAAACACAAATGCTCGGTCACACTCACTTGGCTTGGCTTTTCAGCACACTCTTTTGGTAAGTTTTGCACTGTGATCCCAGAGGTGGAGGACAGAAAGCCCAGTTCCATCAGAGGTCCGAACAGAAATGGTGAAACGACTCGTTAAACTGCGCCACAACAACTCATTAAACGTGAGTCGGGAGGCAGATTCACGTTTTAGTGACCCACTGGGCACCCGCAGCGTCAGCCTCTCCGCGCCTGTGTGAAGAAAACGTAAAACTCAGCATGGCTGGGCGCAGTGCTGCACACCAGTAATCCGGCACCAGGGAGGCTGAGGTGGGAGGACCCCCATGAGTTCAAAGCCAACCTGAGCTAAATAGAGAGACCCCCATCTCAAAGGATGACAGAGAAGTGAATTTATGAAGAGTTGGAAACAACCAGAGAAAATGTTTGCGACTTTCGGGTGTTCATTTCCTTCACTCAAGACGGAGCCGTTCCACACGGCCACGGAGCACGCTGGGTATTTCCGTGGGCTTTAAACTTTGGGTCAGCACGTTTAGTTCTATTTGATTTTGCAAGTGATTTGGATTTGTTTAGTAAGAGCTCTTGCTCTAGCAGTCCATTTCCTTTTATTTTCCTATCAATGAAAAGCAATCTAAAATGTCGGAACCCTCATGCCGTATTTCAGCAAACTCACTGAGGACATGTAACTGCTATGTATAAGACAACATCTAGGGTTCTCGCTGTGTGATAGTGGGTCTCCCAGGGACCCAATCTGAAGTTTCCTGTGTGTCACTGTCAGCAAAGCTATGGAGAATTTCTAAGCTGGCCCAGGAAACATCTTGGCACCTTTGTGTGGGTAAGCTTTTTGATGTTGAAACGAAATACCAGGCACACACAACCTAGATGAAGAGACATTTATTGCACTCATGGATGTCAGAGGGCTCAGTCCGTGGTCGGCTGCTCCAGTAGTCTCAGGGGATTCAGTCCGTGGCCCGCTGCCCCAGGGGTCTCAGGGGGCTCAGTCCATGGTCAGCTGCCCCAGGGGTCTCAGAGGGCTCAGACCATGGTCAGCTGCCCCAGTGGTCTCGGGGGGTTCAGTCCATGGTCAGCTGCCCCAGTGGTGTCGGGGGGTTCAGTCCATGGTCGGCTGACCCAGTGGTCTCGGGGGATTCAGCTTGTGGTTGGGTGGCTGCAAGGCAGGACCATCATGCAGGTGGGCATCGAGGAGGCAAGATGCTCAATTAATATCAGATAGGAAGGTGGGAGGGAGGAACAGGAAGAGGAGAGTTTCAATTTGGCTCTGATCCGTGCAAAACTTTTCCTGATACCCATGAGCTCTTCCTAGGTCCCCTTTTTCCTAGACCTGTTCCATGCATGACAGTTTCCAGGCCAAAGCAAAATTTCCAAGCGCCGGCCCCACCCCCTCTGACCTCGTGAGCCTCCCTCTGCTCACCGGTCGTCTCTGGATGGTGCTGGTTCCGTCCCAGTCAGCTTCTGCCTGCACAGTCCTTCATGCACTGAAGATGGGTAGGGACGTGTCCATTCCTCAAAAGGCCCAGAGCTAGACAAGGACGCAGCCAGGAGAAGAAGAGTGGTGTTGAGATCTTCCCCATGCGAACCTGGTCCTGGCTGGGCTGGGAACCCTTTCCCGTTCAGCACTGGCCGTTGCTTATCCCAGGGATAATTCTTTCCCCCCCCCTTTTTTTTTTAGGTTTAACAGTATCCAGGCCATCTCGGAAACCTCATTCGCAGGACTGAGCAAGTTGGAGCTGCTCATGATCCACAGCAACAACATTCCCAGTCTCCCTGACGGAGCCTTAGGGGACCTCAGCTCCCTGCAGGTAAAGACTCGCAGATCCCCCGTGGACTGGGTCCTCCGTGGCCAGCCCCCGAGATCGCAGTCTGCACCGCTGTCCCCAGCGGTCTACAAAATCGCTGGGCGTTTTCTGGCGCAAAATGACAGTTTCTTGTGTCTCCACGTCCTGCCCTTGAGCCGATGTCTGCCCTCTCCTGGGGCTTTGTACACTGTACCCGGATTCACTGCTTTTCTTCCTCCTCCTCCTCCTCTTCCTCCCTCCCCCATCTCTCTCTCTCTCTCTCTCTGTCTCTCTCTCTCTGTCTCTCTCTCTGTCCCCCCACAGGTTTTCAAATTCAGCTACAACAAGCTGCGAGTCATCACGAGACAGACCTTCCAGGGCCTCCCCGGCTTAATGCGGCTGCACCTGGACCACAACCAGATCGAGTTCATCCACCCCCAGGGTTTCCAGGGCCTGCTGTCGCTGCGGCTCCTCCACCTGGAGGGGAACCTGCTCCACCAGCTGCACCCGGGTACCTTCTCCACCTTCACCTTCCTGGACCACTTCCAGCTGTCCACCCTCCGGCACCTGTACCTGGCGGAGAACAGGCTGCAGCGACTCCCGGATGGTGTCCTGCAGAGCCTGCCGCTCCTGGAGAACCTGTACCTGCACGGGAACCCCTGGGCCTGCGACTGCGAAATGGGGTGGTTCCTGGACTGGACGCTACGGTCCAAAGGTAGGGGCGGGGTTCGGTCCGTGGGACGCCCAGCGTGGCCTCTTCTGCGCAGGTGCAAGACAGGCGCCCTTCCGCGTGGTCTTCCGCTTGCTTCCTTCTTGTGGCACCGGGTGGGGACCGCCCTGAGCCGGCAAGGTGGGAAACGCGAGAGTCAATAGGACCAGCGCTTCACAGCAGAACCCACTCCCCAGTCTGCAAGCACACCTGGCCGCCGTGCCTTGGAACGGTGGGAGGCGGCCAGGGACGGCTGTGCGTGCATTGTGGGCACTGTAGGGCGTCTGGACACCCTGTCCCCTGCGATCATGGGGCGGAGAAAGCTGGATGTGACCAGGAGGTGCACTGGCAGAGGCGGCCGTGCTGTGCTTATTCAGGGCCGGGAGAACGGGCTTGCAGGCAGAGGCCACGAGGTTGAAAACTAGGACACGTCCGTCACCCACTTCCTCCTCCTTTTCTTCTGTCCTTTCCTCCCCTCTGGTTTTCTCCCAACCTCCTTCCTTCCTCCCTCCGTCCCCCTAGCTCCCCCACCAGGGGCGGGATCTCATCCCTGAACCCCCAAATATCCAGTGGAGCCCCAAGATCCCTTCGGAAACCTCCTTTTCCACAGCGGCTCAGCACCCTGGAAGGGAAGCATAAAGTACAGGGCCGTGAGGCCCGGTTCTCGGCCGTGTGCCGGTGCGTGCGCATGCGTGTGTCTGAGCACGTGTGTGCGAGGCTGTGGCGTGTGCATGTGCCTCTCCGACAGGCCTCTGGGGACCTTCGGGCCTGAGCTTCAGAACCCCTCCACACCCCAGAACCCACAGATGCGCCTTTTACTTTGCGCCTTTGTGAGGTTCACGTCTGCGGTGCCGAGACCCGGACCTCGTCCGGAGCTGAGGTAGGCGGGGAGCTCGGATTCACTCCGTTCCAGGCCCCTCTCCCCTGTCTCCCTGCTCCTCACAGCCATTGGCCCCCTTCTCTCTTGCAAAAGCTCCATTTCCATTTCTTTAATTCTTTTTTTTTCTTGTCTCTTTCCCTCCCTGGCCTCCATCTCTTGTCCGCGTCTTCTCCGATGAGCATCTCTCTCCCTGCTTCCTGTCACGTGTCTTTCATTTTGCCCCCTCTACCTGGGTGGCTTCTCTTACTAAGTCTCCTCTCCAACATTGCTGTCTGGCTTACTCCCCCGGAAGCAGAAAGGCAGGGAACATCCTCGGCGTGTGCCCCTGCCCATCACCTTCTGTACGAAGCCTTAGAAGATGTTGCAGTGCCTCACGCACCCTAGATGCTAGGGAAACCGATGCAGGCAGGATTGTTCATTTGGGCGATGCTAAGCCGAAAAACGGTTGTGCCTGTTCAGTTCAGATGCGGTTATTTTCATGAATCAATTTCCATCCTTGATTGGCTGGATCTGGGAGTGCAGACCCCACAGGCACGGAGGACCAGCTGGGTGTGACAGGGGAGATTGGTGAAGCAACTTTATTTGTACGTCGAGCTGTTGGCTCTCAAAGACCCAGAGAAAACCCCACTCCTGGAAGCAAAAGTCTGGGGAACAGAACCCTCTGGGAAGAGTACTGATGCTCCAGGTTGCAGACAGGGAGGGCACCGGAAAGACGGCGGCCCCTAAGGCTGCCGTAGATGAAGCCTGACAGGCCTGGTTTGGAGCCGGGTGAGACGATCACTCCACTCTGTAGATGCCCCCGGGAGGACGGGTGGGGAGTGGGGTCCCCCTGGGGAGGTGGGCACAGGCAAGGCGGGCACAGCGAAGGAGGCTGAGTAGGGAAGGAAAAGTGACGGAAACACCGTCTGAAACAGAAAAAGTACGTATGGGCAGCAGGACAAAAACGTAAAATGGAGCCAGGGGCCAGGTGTGAGGGCGCACACCTGTCATCCCTGTACTCTGGGAGGCCGAGGCGGGAGGATGCCAAGTTTGAGCCCAGCCTGGGTAACTTAGACCCTTTCTCAAAATTTTAAAAAATATATATATTTGAAAGGCACTGAGGCTGGTACTCAGGTCACTCCTCGGCGGCATAAGAAAAAAAATAAGTGGCTAGTGCAGTGGAACCTCAAGTTACGATTGGCTTGACCTACGAACAACTTGGATTTTGACCAGAATTTTACTTTTAACTTACGACCAAAGTCTTGAGTTACAACCCAGATGCAGGCCATCAGATGTGCTTCCAGATGGTCTCGGATGCAGACTGAACCCCCAGAGAGCTCTGGAAGGAACAGGACAGTGTCCTCTCCTGTGCGGAGTTCACTGAGAAACCCCGGGCCAGTGTCCCTCTGAGGACCCTGAGATGTGCTGTGTGCAGGAGAGAGACGCTGAAGGCCATGTAGAGGAGCTGAGCCTGCGCTGACCAATTTGAGTTACAACCGGCCATAGGGAACAAATTGAGTTCCTAAGTCAAGGGTCCACTGTGTACGATTCCTATCAAAGTTCTGTCCTTTGTCTGGAAATGTTTTCATAGATTGCAATAGTTTCTGTAGATACTTTTGGGGATTTTGCAGCAAGTAAACTGCACATGTATAGGAAAGGCTGCATTTGACTTAAGAATGTTATTCCCTAAGTGTGGTCATGTGTTGCTTAGGGATCCATTCTAAGAAACAGGTCGTGAGGAGGTGATTTATATCTGGATGGGAATGCTGTAGTGTGTGCTTCCAAAATTCTGCCTGATTCAATCCGTCTTCAATGTGGATGCTTAATGTGACCAAGAGACATGGCGAGTGGGGCGTAATGGCACATACTTGCAATACTGGCATTCTGGGAGGCTGAGGCAGGAGGATTGCAAGTTGGAGTTCAGCCTGGACAACTTAGTGATTCAGTAAGACCTTGTCTCCAATAAAAAAAAGAGCCGGGCCAAGAGCTGAGCATGAAAGTCCTGGGTTCAAACTCCAGTACCACCGAAAGGAAGGAGAGTGAGAGTGAGGGAGAGAGGAAAGGACAGAAGGAGAGAAACAGAGACAGAGAGCAAGGTAGCCCGGCGTGCTGCTTCCTTTTTTTGTTTTTCACAAGGAGCGGTACACTCTACGGCACATGCCTGTCGTCCCAGCACCGTGAGAGGCTGAGGCAGGAGGATGTCAAGTTCGAGCCCAACCCGGGCCACTTGGCGACTTTGTGAGACCCTGTCTCAAAACGTAAAACATTCCAAGAAGAGCCGGGGATGAAGCTCAGCGCCAAGGACCGGGTTCAACTCCCCCAGTTCCGCCCCAAGCCAATGGCCCGGGCTAGGAGGTCGCAGGGGAAGGTCATGAAAAGTGCCCCAGGCGTGTCCTTGCCCCACCCGGGATGCCGCAGGCGCGAGGGTCAGAGGTTCACACCGAGACGCAGCAAGCGGGCTTTGCGTTCCTCCCGCGTCTGACTCTCGGGGACCCGTGTGCTCTTGTGTTCCAGGAATCCTCAAGTGCAAGAAAGACAAAGCCTACGACGGCGGCCAGTGGTGCCCCACCTGCTCCAGTCCCAGAGAGTTCCGGAAGCGGGAAATCCTCAAGCTGCCCGACGTGCCCTGCGTGAGGCCTTCCATACAGTCCGCTCTGAGGCAGAACCACAGCCGGGCGCGGGAGGACGAGGAGGAGGAGGAGGAGGAGGAGGAGGAGCAGGAGGAAGAGCGGCCCTGGGACGGCCCGCTGCGCCCGGAGGACACGGCCCCCGCGTCCCGCTGGAACATCTCCTTCAACCTGACGGACGAACACGGCAACGCGGTGCTGCTGCGCTGCGCCATCCGGAAGCCGGCGGGGCTGCCCGGCCTCCACCTGAACCAGACCGAGCCCGCGCAGATCGACATCAAC